AAACATGATTTTCATGCAGGACAATGCTCCATCACACGCGTCCAAGTACTCCACAGCGTGGCTGGCAAGAAAGGGTATAAAAGAAGGAAAAACTATCATTGAGAACATGGTTGTTGTTCAATAATAACATTATTCCTCAAAAATACAACTTGCCTAATAATTCTGCACTCCCTTTTCATGCTGAATCTCTGCATAAAGTTATCTGTGGAATCACTATACCAGCCAAACTTAGCTGTAGACCAATCTGCAGATGAGACACTTTCCTGTGGCACTGGCTGATGTTTATTTGTTTGGTCACATCAGTTTGGCAGTGGCTAAGTGTTCAGTGACAGCGTGACAAGGAACCGACAGCCTTTTAAATAGACCAGGCAGTTTTCTTAAATGAAAACTTCTTTGTATCCCTGGCACAAAATAGGGAAAAAGAAATTATTAAAAAATGTGATTCATATCAGTCTTTGCTTTCACTAAAATGTTTCTTTAAACATTATAGATTACATACATTATAGATCCAGGATTGGGACATCTCTAGTCCTGTGTGTTAGCGGGTAGCTCCACAAATGGGGGGCAGGTGAGGGTGGCTGTGGTTCAGGAATTAGAGCAGGTCAACTGCAGGATCGATTCCCTGGCTCCTCCAGTCTGCATGTCAAAGCATCCTTGGGCAAGATACTGAACCCTGACTTGCCCCTTATGCATCCATCAGAGAGCAAGTTTGTGAACAATTTCACAATGGATAAGTCCATGTTTGATTTGGGATTTGTGTCTACTTCTCATCTAAAAAAATTGAAAACGGAGCTACAATAAAAATTAGAGACTGTTCATATGAGCAAACTTACAATTTCAAGTGAGGATCAAATAATTATTTCCCCCATGTACATTATCTTCTAAGCTGCATGACGAGCTGATGCAAGATAAAGCTTTGAGCCCCACACAGGAGAGTCCACTGTAAAGAGTGGAGTTAAAGTGTGGATGTCCTTTCGGTTCACTCCACTCTAAAGAGTAATTGTTCAGCACCTTCAACAGTGTGAGGTCAAGATCCAAAACGTTTTCTTGGTGTAAATAAACGTCAGATTTATGAAGTGCAAAAAGAAGCATGTACAAGAACTGTTCTTCAGGAACTCATCTGTTAGTCTTTGACTGTCATTTTGATCTAAATTAAAATTGCTAAATGAGAAAGATGAGCCTCATTGTGGACAATATAATTACAAGTACAGCTGCACTGTTAACTCTATGATTAGCGGCGTGGGCCACAGTCTGTGAGCTACAACATCCAAAATGTAATATTTCAAAATATAAAAAAATTACAATTCTGTGTAGGTATGACAATGATTAATGAAGAGCTGTCCAGGTTGGATTTTCAGGTACCTCTGAGGTTGTTATAACATAACATTTCTTTCCATCAACCACCAATATTCTTCTAAAATCTGTTTTTCATACATGACATACATACATTTTAACTGTACAGCCACATATTTGTAAAGCTTTTAGTGCCCTAATACAATTTTTTTAAACACACTGTTGAGTTTTTGATGAAAAGATATGCTGGTTTTCAAAAGATTCCCTCTCTCTCTTTTTTTGCTTATTTCACTACTTTTCCCTGAAGCACTTGACTCATTTGCCGATAAAGGCATTTATTCAACTGTTATGTACATGTTAGTCATAAACATGTGTTTTGGTATGATGTAATGATGCTGTGTGATTCATATTGGATACACAAGTGCTTTAAAAATGTGTGGTAAGTGGGTTGCACTTATACAGCTCTCACATCCAGGTGGCAGCACTGAGAGCAGTTGTCTTTCTCCAGGACACTTTGACTTGTCAGACAACTCTATCATAGTCCCCTCAAACTCCTAAGTTCCCAATATATGTATATCATTTTGCTGTGGATGGATGTAAAACGGATAGTGAGTGCATGTTTGTAGGTTATCTTGACCCATCTATGAGCTGCAAGATTTCATGTCAGGATTTAATGTAGAAAGTGTGTGAAAAGAAAAGGAATAAGGTGAACTTAACCTAAGTTTCACTGTTGTTTTTTTCCCCGGAAAGTACTTTGGTCAACCATGTTGTTTTTAAAGTGCTCTATAAGGTTGGATTGTTGTCTTTAAAGAGGAGAGTACTGTATGTTCCTGTTTGTGGCCCCATATAACTTCCGTCGCCTTTGCACATCTGGCTTCAGCATCTGTCACTTTCCACTAGTCGGAGTCTCTGAGGCCACCGAGGCCTCGGTCACACCCAATGACAGACAAATAGGGAGAGGATGACACAGATAAAGGATCTGCATCCATCAGTGAAACAAATTATAGGTTAAGTCTGTGTGATAGTGGAAAGAGACCGTTAGCAATGTAGTGTGATTCCACTGCATCAGTTACATGGTGTACTCACTCTTCTGTCATATCGGGTTCAGAAGACGTGGTCAGTGATTAATAATGCTTTGTCACTGGCATAAGATTCAGGTTTTTTCCCCTCACCCATTTGTGGAAATCCATCGCATTTTAGCTGTGTGTCCAGACAATGTGATCTTTGTGGTCCTCTGTCACAGCAACACCACATGAGGACACCTCAGCTGTCTGAGCAGCTGCTCCCATTAACGCCATCTGCAAACTGCCTTCGCCCTGGGGCTCCAAACAGGAGTGTGAGAAGTGTCCCTGAAACACGCTCATAAGCATCCTACCTACACGGTGTTCCGCAATCCGGGGATTAATACTTCCTGTGTGACCCAGACCTCGGCCTGAGGTCAGGTTAGCCTGGTTTAGGAATTAATGACGGGGGAAATGGTGCTCCTACTCTAGTCTTGTCCTGACTGAAAATAATCCAGCCACGTTCAGTCAAGTTGTCCTGTGCACAGTCATCCAAAACCTGCTCGTTTTGGCCACATTTTCTATCTTAACATTTAATCAAACCGGCAATAAAAAACCCCCAAAAACAATAAGCAAAATGGGACACTGAATCAGCACACACTCAGCCTTTTGTAATGTCTCTCTGTACAGTTTTATTTACATGATACTATTCTGTTGTAATGCTGGATAGCAAGATTATATGTAATACATAAATATCAACACAGTTTTGTTTTTTCTTTTTTGTACAAATTTGCATATAACTAAGAATCAGAAAGGAAAAACTCAAACGGATACATACAGTTAACTTTAAATGAAAAAACAAAACAAAAAACACATCCATACGGGGGAGAAACAAGTCACAAACATACATCGGTTTCAATGTGTCAGGCAGCCATGAAAACACACTGTCGCACAGGTATGTGCACGTGCACTCACACAAAAACACACGCACACTTTTT